CAAGTTGGTTTAACACCTTGGAATTCTATACTTCTATTGATATTCTGTATTGGCTTATGTCTATTGTACTGAGCTGCCTTCATCATCAATTCTGATTCCTTCCCATCACTCTTGACTACATACTGGATTTCCTGCGTGACAACATTTTACTCCTCTGGCTGCTTCAGAAGACCCATCATTCTTCCAAAACTGAAATCTGACATTCTTGCAATTCTCCGCATCCACAAATTTCAAGTTAGGAGATATGTTGTCCATTAAATTGCAGGCGTTCTGCTTCATCTGACTTCTACAGTCATACATTCTACTTCACTTAATCTCTCCGGTCCTGATTTCCCTAAATTGATCCAGTCTACCAAAGCAAGCACTCCATGGTGGCTCAAATATGTCACCGTTAAAGCAGTATTTTGATGAAGGGCATATGTGTTCAGCAGCAAGAGCTAAATTCCTCCAGTGAGAATTTATCTCATAATTGACACATTAACACTCCACTTGTCAGAATGTCTGGATCACGTTTGACGCGAGAGTCTTTTCAGAGGCTGTGTGGGATCCAAAAGGTAAAACTGAATAAGGTCTTCATCATGTAAGGAAATTACTTAAGTCATCCTAATCTTTAAAGAGCTGGCCCATATATACCTTCCTTATCATGACTTTTAAAAACAGTCTAATCACAGCCTCTCTAATCTAACAGGAGGTCTTTCTGTTGGAAATATTGGCTGCATCCTTTGCTTTTTTTAATTAGAGATATAGCTCAATAGATAGTGACCTTCCCTAGTTAGGGAGAAGGCTCAACATATTCGTTCACAGAATACACATCAAATGACACGTCCATGGAGCTTCTCAGTCATCCAGCCGAAGTGGCGCAGTGGTTAAATGCAGCACTGCAGGCTACTTCAGCTGACTGCAGTTCTGCAGTTCGGCTGTTCAAATCTCACCAGCTCAAGGTTGACTCAGCCTTCCATCCTTCCAAGGTGGGTGAAATGAGGACCCGGATTGTTGTTGGGGGCAATATGCTGACTCTGTAAACCGCTTAGAGAGGGCTGAAAGCCCTATGAAGCGGTATATAAGTCTAACTGCTATTGCTATTGCTATTGCTATCCAGGTCATGGTCGTCCCAAAGATGCTTTTTTCCCCCCAAGAGGCAACTGGACTTTCTGAGCTGAAGAAGCTTCTTAGATGAGAAGCAAAACATCTTCAAAGAAAAAACAGACAGTCCAGTTGCCTCATGAAAAAGCACCTTTGGGACACCAAATAAAGGAGAATATTTGTAACTCGGGATTGAAATGAGGGTTCCTTGGCACTGTCTGAATTTGATTGTTTTCTTGCAAATATTTCATGACCCAACTAAGTAACATCATCAGCACTAGAAGAGAGTGGGGGAGGAGGGGGAGGAGGACTGTGGGATCCTTGGTGCTCTCTGCTTGGTTGTTTTCTTGAAAACATTTCATGATCCAACTAAGTAACATCATCAGCACTAGAAGGGAGTGGAGGGGGGAGGGGAGGATGAGAAAGATGACAACAATGACTGTTGGGTCCTTGGTGCTCTCTGCTTGGTTGGTTTTTTTTCCAGATGTTTCATTACCCAAACTAGGTAACATCAGCTGACCAGTACTACATATAGGCATAAGAAGCTTCAGAAAGCACACAAATGTAAGGGCTAGCATTGATTATGTTACCTAGTTGGGTAATGAAGAATCTGCCAGAAAACAACCAAACTCAGAGAGGACTTCGCACACCAAGCTAAAATATGTTTGAGTTTGGCTTAGCAAATTGTGGGAATCCATATGATCCCATATGCCAACTATTATTGAATAAAGTATACTTAGTGCATATCCCCATCAAGGTGTTGGGTGTTGGGTTGATATTCTGCATTTTTCTAGTACCCTATGAGATTCAAGAATGCCCTCCAGGGGGCTCCCTTCTCCTGCCCAAGAAGGACAGCCTTCAACTAACACTGCTTAGAATCTTCATGCGCTTGATAATGAATTAGCCTTTTTCTATTTTTACAAATTGCTCATTGCTTTTAGTGGTAAGATCAGATCCACTTGCTGGTTGATTACAGTCGTGCTTCATTCATACAACTCAAAGGAAAGTTGTAAAAATCCGCTCGCGTGCCTAACTTCCAGCTGTAGAACAAAATACAGAGGCATGTTTGAACCAGGCCAATGGCAGAGAGATGCTTTAGCTCAAGGAATGTCCTTCTTCCTCAAATGCAAGCCTTTGGATTGTCAACAAGTGCCAAGAAAATAAATACGTGACACATTGGTGGGAAATTTATTGATCTTTTTGTCTTCCCAAGAAAAGAGTCAGTGCAGCAGTTTAATTAGAAAATAAAGTGTTTATTAAGAAACTAGACATAAAGACCTCTAGAGTCTCTGTGAAAGGGGAAATTCCCATTTTCATAGCACAAGATGATGAACATGGAGAGAAGAGGGAAATGGTTTGGAATGAGGGGTTCTTATTCAATAATGAGGTAATGATTACAATAATTAAAATCGAAAACCATCTTTCTCTCTCTTTCTGTCTCTCTCTCTCTCTCTTTCTCTCTCTCTTTCTCTCTCTTTCTCTCTCTTTTTCTTCTTAAGACTCGCAACCTAAAGCCTCCAACTTCGATGGCCCAAAGATTGGTTCATTTCACCCTTTTTTAATATATTAATTCCTTCAAATAAAGGAATTACCACCTGCTCCTCAGTTTTCCAGGCTCCTTCTCCTCAATAGTTTGCCCTAAGAAACATGATGTAAATACACACAAGAGTGGGCTATACATAAAAGAAAATGAGATGCAATTGTGTGAATAGGCTGCTTTGGGGGTGGGTCGAACTTAACGTGACACACAATAAAATAAAACTTTTTTTAAAATGTTGAGCAAAGTGTGTTTCCAGTTTTTATTCAGAAGAAAAAGTAGGGCACATCTATTAAAAGCCTGGAAAACAAGGAGGTCAGATTTGATGGCTATGGGTTCAATGGCATTCCTCACAAATAACATCAGGACCAGGAATCTCACCTTGAATTAACTTTAGACCTAAGCTTAAAACTAGCATGACAAATCTCGTGGGTGTATATAAATATATATATGCAACCCTCAGCTAGTGATCAGTTACTTAGGTTAATTTCCAACATACCTTGCTTTGACAAAAGCAAACCTATAGTGACATTACAATTTTGGTTTTCAGTTCTCATTTGAATGATTTGCTGTTTCAAGCTTAAAAACCTGGTGAATTTGTGTGGCTACTTTTCCATGTTGTTAAAGCTCTCCGTGGCTTTTGACTTGATTATTGGAGCAAACCAGCAAAAAAATAAATAAAATGATACGTTTTATAAATAAACCTCTTCTGCAATTTGCAGGAAAAGACATTTCAGCTGTTTTTTAGGATTTTGTTTTGTGAAAGAAAACCCCATTAAAGACAAAATGCCTCTGCAGTACGCCTAACTCTTAAAGATCTTCAGTGCTTCAGTCTTCATTCATCTTACCCCAAGAGAGTAATTGATCAAGATAAGCAATTTTGGAAGCTGTACAGCACTGCAGAAACATTTGGCAAATCTGATGGCTCAAATAATTATCTGCAACAAGCTAAAAATCTAAACAAATATTTTTGGTCTAGTCTGTCTAACCCCTTGTCCTTAATAACAGTTTCACACAGTTTTCGGAGCCAGTGGGAATATTTGTGATTTGGAGAGGATGCCATAGGATATTTAAAAAATGGTTGTCCTGGGGAACTTCCTTATTCCTAAATTATGAGCATGGCAGTCGCTCAACATCAATTCATCAAAAGACAAAGCTGTATGGTTGCTCCCAGTCACAATCCTTAATCTTACCCCAAGCTGTTCCCTATTTCTTCCTCGGAGGTAGATATTCTTCCAAATAAAATCTAGCTTCGACAATACAGCATTTTTATTTCTAAGATGGTTATTAGGCTCAGAGGATCTCGAAGCAGATAAACCTTTTTCTGGAGTCTAAAATACTTCATTTTACAGCATACAGGTAGTCCTCAAATGATGGCCACAATTGAGCCCAACATTTCTGTCGTTAAGCAAAGCAGATGTTAAGCAAAACTTTGCTCAATTTTACGACCTTTCTTGCCACAGTTCTCAAGTGAATCACTGCAGTTGTGAAGTTAGTAACATAGGTGTTAAAATGAATCTGGCTTCCCCATTGACTTTGCTTGTCAGAAGGTCACAAAAGGTGATCACATGACCCCGGGAGACTGCAACCGTCATAAAGATGAACCAGTTGCCTAGCATCCCAGTTCTGATCAGATGACTATGGGGATGCTGCAAAGATTCATAAGTGTGAAAAATGTAAGTCATGTAAGTCACTTTTTTTCACGGTTATTTAGTGAACCGTCACTAAATAAACTGTTGTAAATTGAGGACTACCTGTACTAGATTCGCCTTTATTTTCAATGAAATAATAATAATCATAGCAGTCATATTTATATATAGTGTGGGGTAAGGGAGTCTGGAGCACCAAGAGAGTTGCCTCAGAATGTGTTAGTGTCCATAGGAAACATATTTGCTATTCCAAGTTTTGCATTTGTATATATTCCTAGATAATGAGTGGAAGCGTATTAAGGAGCAATCCAGAAGGACAGATTTTCTGACAGTGAGAACAATTAATCGATGGAACAGCTTGCATCCTGGAGTTGCAAGTGTTCCATCGCTGGAGGTTTTCAAAAATAGACTGGACAACCATTTGACTAAGATGGTGTAAGCAGTGGTGGGATTCAAATAATTTAACAACCTGTTCTCTGCCCTAATAACCAACTGGGGTTGGTGTGGCTCGGTGGTCATGTGACTGGATGGGCATGGCCAACTCAACATCACTCAGGTCTATGGGCGCCTCGCCTTAGCTGTTACAATGCAATAATGGTTAACCGGAGAGGCAGTTTCTGTAAGCAGGGCAAACAAGATGAGGCTAGAAACAACACCATAATGTTTCCTTCCTGCCTTCCTTACAGGATTAGCCCTGTAAAGTGGGAAAAAAACAAAAGGAGATTTCTTCCAAAAACCGGTTCTCTGAATTGCTTAGAAAGTTAACAACTGGTTCTCCCAAATAGGTGCAAACCGGCTGAATCCAATAACCGGGTGTAAAGCCTCCTGCCTTGAGCAAAGGATTAGATTGGAAGACCTCCCTTCCAGCCTTATGATTCTATGTTCCACATTCTATCACTACATTTGACTAAGACTCTGACGGAGCTTATCTAATATTGATAATTCCATTCCCCACCGACCCCTCATCTGAAACTGAGGGGGAAAAATACCGAACAGATATTTCTTTCCAGGGTGGAGATCAAGGCCAGCATTCTTCCTGCTTCCATTGCTAAGGTTTTGAGATGGAGTTAAGGTGTGAGAAAGAAGAACAGAACGTAGATGTCTATATAGAGAGCTGAGTCTAGAATCAATATTTGTATTGAAGCCAGAGTCTTATTCCAATCTCCTTTTGCTTAGTTTGTATGCCTTGAGCCAACCATACATTCAGAGTGCATGACTGAATTATAATACATCTCTAACTTGGCGAGAAATTAATGGAAAGGGATGGAAGAGGAGGGGAAAATGAGATAGGAAGGCAGAAAAAGATGGTTGGTTTGCAGATCGGAGAATGAATTTAAAAACAAAAAAACTTGTGGATTTCTTCTACATTTTTTTTTGTCCCTAGACTTGTTGAGATCTGCAACACCACTCCTCATCCATCCATGGTGTGAAGTCCAGGAGCTCCTTACCTCCCCACCATCCCACAAATGCACACGCACACCCGCAAACACACACACACACACGCATCCACACAACTCCCATCCCCGGAGATAAAGCCATTATACAAGCAGCAGGGAAAAGGCTGGTGTACGAAAACAGAACACAGATAGCCGAAGAGCAGGTCGAACGCACAAAAGGCACATACACTCACACGCACGCACGCGCACGCACAAACAGAAGATCCTCCTACAAATAAATTTGTATTCAAAACAAAGCCACCATATCATCTTTTTTTTTTTTAAGGTTAAGAGTAGCAGCCCAGTTTTTTTTTTCTCCTTGATTGCTTTTCCATATAGGTTCTGGTACAATAACTTTATGGCTAGATGGGATACAAGGAAGGGGCGAAGACGTGGAGGCTGCCTTCGTTTTATCTTTTCTTACCAAGGGTCTTCACTCTGTTAAAACATCTTCTGAAGTCTCATCTCTTCTCGCTTTGGAGTATCCTCCCATAACCTTAACTACTTGCAAGTTGAGAGAGAGAGAGAGAGAGAGAGAGAGAGTAAGTGGTCTTCATTGAACGTTGTGACGTCACAAGGATTCCAAGGCCAAAAAGACCACCGCTAAAATTTCCGGATTCAGATCAGTTGCTTGGGTCTTGTTTATTTTTATATAAGAAAAATAAAATAAAATAAAAAGCAAAGTGCATCCATTGTGACGCATCCTTTGAGAACATCTTTATCTTATTTTTCCCCCTTCAATAAAAAACAACAACAACAAAATGTAATTTGTTGCTCTGCTTTGCTCCTGTTATGCCTTGTAGCAACACCGCAACCGATGGAGGGGGAAAAAAAGAACACTAGGACCAACAGAAGAGGACAACATTCCTTTGAACTGGTGGCAGGAGGGGAAAAAACACAAAAGTACACCCCTGTGTTGTTGTTGTTGTTTCAGCAGGAGGGAGACTGAGGTCCGATTCCACCCGGCGGTGGCTTTGATCTGTGTACAGACCATGCTTTTGTGAAAGTGTCCCATAAAACTCTCAAAGGGCACAACCAACAAACTTGACATTGAAAGAAGGAACCTGTCGAGGAGGTGGTTTTCTTTTTTTTCTTTTTGATTTCACTTTTTTTTTGTCTTTCACCTTTTTTTTGTTTTTGCGCTGTTGATTGTGTGTGAGTTTTTTTTTTTTGTTCTTTTTAAAAGCCATGACGTCCTTTGCTGAAATAAACACTGACATCTTCAACATAAATGCCATGATGGTTAAGAGGATTAGAATGTCCAGGAAGGGTTATTGGATTCAACATAATTTCTCTGAAACCTAAAACGGGGGGGAAATTGGGGGGTTTGGGGGAGGAAGGAAACAAAACAAAAGAGAACAAAAAAAAAAGCAGAAGAGATAATAAAGAGTGGGAGGAAGGGAAAAATAATCTTCTTATCACAAAACAAATATTCAGACTTAGGAAGGAATAGAGAAGTAGCGACATACATATAATTATCTGGAAAACAAACTAAAACAGAATAAACCATCAGACTGTCTGAAGAAGGGTTATATTCATGTGATGTATAAGCTGGTATCTTTTTGTTTTAGATATCAGTCAAAGATATAAAATTTAATAGAATAATCTATTTAAATAACAATGGGTGGGTGTGTGGGTGTGTATGTGTGCGTATGTTCCAGCATAATTCTGGAAAGCCTTGACCAATTTCAACCAAACTTGGTACACAGATGACTTACTCTCTGGAAACAAATACTGTGGGGGTAAAACACTCTAAAACCCCTCAGGGTGTGTGTTCTGTTATGATGCAGCCTGTTGTGCCTTCAAATGGCTTCTACTGTATTGCCATGAAATGGCTTCTACTGTACAGTGCAGTGGAGTTGCCTTGGTAAGGGCTTCATAGTACTCCACAAGGGGGCTCCCTCTGGTAAGGAGGAAAATCCAACATTAGAAATTATGTTTGGTCCGGGCATTTCCCCCCTATAAATAAATACCCGGACCATGCTGGCTTATTGGCTAGTTTTAGATATAAAATCCAGCCTGTTCAAGACTTGACACTCTCTGAAAGGGTTATGGAATTTCTGTGGTTGCTGTTCTTAAAGGAAACTTCACCTGAACAAAATGTTTTTGTATTCACTTATTTATTTGTAAAATTTATTGGCTGCCCATCTTACAATAAGGTAACTCTGGAGGGCTTACCATATTAAAGAATTAAAGCAAGGTTGTGCAGATGTCTGTTTTCCTTGCTTCGTTGCTCACTTCTCTTCTGGGTTAATGAAAGCTGATATAATATAGTGACAAATAAACTGCAAGATGAAGAGAATTGGTTTTGGATTGCAGCACTACTTTGATTTTGCTTACTTTGGTTTGACTTCTCCAGTAAAGACTTGGGTGATACATGGCAGGGATAAAAGATTAGTTTATGGATCTTTCTCTTGAGAAAAAAAAAATCTACCAAGGCTTTGATACATCCCACTGCTTTTTAGTAGCATCAACTCAAAAACAAAATGGAATTTGTTTATGGGCCTCGGTAATAACAAAGGTGGTGGATATGGCTAAGACTCCAAAGTGACTTTCCCTCACTTTGGAAAATAGTTCATTCAGGTGGGAATGAATCAACTATAGGAAGCAAGCCCACTGATGCATCTCATTCCTTGCCTTCTCTTCATCCCACCCCACCCCTCTATTGTCTCCAGAAAAACAGAAGCAGAGAAAAGCAGTGAACAGAATTGGAGGTATGGTTGTCAGCATTGGTCTGGCCATCATTGAGCCCATAATAATTTAGACTCTCCTGAATGAAGGGAAATATACATGTCCCAGGATAACATTAAGGTAAAGGTTCCCCTCGCACATATGTGCTAGTTGTTCCTGACTCTAGGGGGCGGTGCTCATCTTCATTTCAAAGCCGAAGAGTTGGTGCTGTCCGAAGACGTCTCCGTGGTCATGTGGCTGGCATGACTAAATGCTGAAGACGCATGGAACACTGTTACCTTCCCACCAAAGGTGGTCCCTATTTTTCTACTTGCATTTTTACGTGCTTTTGAACTGCTAAGTTGGCAGAAGCTGGGACAAGTAATGGGAGCTCACTCCGTTATGTGGTGCTAGGGATTCAAACTGCTGAACTGCCGACCTTTCTGATCGACAAGCTCAGTGTCTTAGCCACTGAGCCATCGTGTCCCTTCAGGATAACGTTGCAGGGGACCAAAGATTTAGTCTTCTGAGCTTTCGGACTCGTGCTCGTTCCATTCTCAGGAAGCCTCTCTCTCAACAAAATTTAGGAGATAAGGAGAATGGAGAGAATTTAGACTCTCTCCATCAAGTGTA